CCCCCCCCCCTGACAATCATCATCGGCCAATTATCGAAACAAAAACAAATAAATAATCATTGTTAGCATTCTACTCACATAAATAAGCCCAGAGTAATACCGATCCTTGAGGTTATGAAGTACAGACGCCTCATTGAGGCACGTCAGTTCAGCCATATCCTCTACCTTATCAAATTTAGGTGGATTCATCTTCTGTATATCATCCTTAGCAACGAGCACACGTTTACCGGTCTCAGCAATTTCCACTTCCACCTCATCGCCCCTCTCGCCCTTAATGCCAGCAGCAACAAAGCCCTGTGTCTCATGTGGCACCCATACTAATTTCTTCTGTGTCCATTCAGCCTGAGTTGCTGGATCATTAAAATTATTTCTATCCACAGATAAGTAACGTAGCTCCGGATCCGACCGGTCTACCCTCGAATCACCGTCCGCCATTTTTGTTTAGCGCTGGTAACACAATGCGTCCCCGTGGTTTTTTTTCCCCTCCCCCCTTGGCTTGGCCGTTTTTATTTCCACAGGTTTGAGAATATAAAATATAATAATGACGGAACGTTGCCGACCAGAACGGCCTCTCTCTCTCCTCTCGAACGCGCGCTCAGGAATTTTCGATATTTTTTTCACGCTTCGATTGATCCTTTCCGTCCCGCGAAGTATTTATTTATTTATTTTTTCCTTAACTAAACTTCACCGGTCCAGTCACCAGCGGCACTCGTCGGCTCTCGACATACGCGAACCGTCCCGCCTGGCCCCCTTTTTTTTTACCGAAATTTATTCAACTCTACCGCACATGTAAGATGTCTTTTTATTACTACGCCGACTCCTTTTCACTTGCACGACCGCTGCCACACAACTACCTCACGAAACTACCGCTCCCCAACGTTTGTCCTGTTACTCTCACTCTCCTCTTACCCCCATTGGGTTTTCACTCCGGTATTGGGAGTCTCTGGTCTCTGTCTCACTCGGGTTTTACAACCGTTTCGTTCGGCACAACGCGCCATCACGGGGCCCTCTCTCCTTCGCCCCGCCTGCCTGTCTACGGTTTTCATGGTGGCTGAGGCCGGCGGGGCGCGGGAACGGGCGCAAAACTCAAATTGTGGTGGTGTCTCGTTTCGGCGGGTGCTGGGGGGACTCTAGTGTCTTTGTTGGGTCAACTGTCTTGTGTCAGCGCTTTCCAGTCGGCAAATTTGCAATCTAGCCGCGTGGACTGGCGCTGACGTACCGATGCCCCGGAGAATGGGCCGGTTTACAAGTGGCTGGCGGACTCTTGGGCGCGAGTTTTCGAATTTCTCGGGGGCTCAACGGCGAGGGAACTGGTGCCTGCGGACAATTATTTGTTTTATCATTATGGTTTTATACGCCCTTTCTCGCTCCGCCGACCGCTTATGACTCTTATGATCCTTATTATGACCCTTGTGACCCTTAATCTGACCCTCGTGACCCTTATTTTGATCTTTAATTTTGGAGTCTAAATTTACGATATAGAGGGATATTGAGATCCTTATTTTGACCCTTGTGGCCCTTAGTTTCTGACGCCCATGACCCTTATTTGGACCCTTAATCTGACCCTCGCGATCCTCATTTGGACCCTTAATCTGATCCTCATTATAATCCTGATGACCCATAGTTTCTGACTTTTGGTTTATGACACTCATTTCCCTTATTTGAACCCTTACTCTGACCCTTGTGACCCTTAATCTGACCCTTGTTGCCTTTATTTGGGTCTTTAATCTGATTCTTAATCTTGCGACCTTTAATCTGACCCTCGCGACCCTTATTTTTATCCTCCTGACCTTTATTTTGAACCTCATAACCCTTATTCTGATCCTCATGATCCTTGTGACCCTCAAATGAACTATTTAGTTTTGTTCGTTTAGATGTGACAATATTTTTAATTTTATGTTCAATATGTGTAATGTATATCATATTGCGTGCTAAGTGGAAAAAGGTCGTATGCGCCAAAAAAAAAAAATTTCCTCAAATTTTGGATTAAAATGATTCTAGAGCCCAAGTTGTCCAGATTTCATGTTCCCTAGATCAGGTTCATATTCCCTTTTTCGATTTAGCACGCGATATAACGTGCAATATATGTGATACATTACAGAAATAAAATCATCAATAATAATTATTACAAAATAACTCATGAAAAAATTCAAATAGAATTCGAATTTAGAAAGAAAAACCGTTACTAAAAAAAATTCTCATATTGTAAATGCAATATATCGAAAACTTCACTTGCAACAATTCATTATTTTTCCGTTAACTCAACAAATGATATAATCATTACTATAAAATCCCAGAAGATAATTATCCAAATATTTCTAAAAGCACACACTAACCAATCCCCATAAATCAAATAAACTGAACAATCATCCAGCGCCAAAATCGCAAAACCCGCTGACCTACAATTTTCAAGGTGAGAACCATCGGCATAAAAAATATCAACAGAAGCGGATGACTCACACCCTAGATTTACTCAATTCGGTCCAAGCTGCATTCACCAAATGAAGCGCCACGAAACCTCATTAAAACGCTAAAAATAATTTCACCAATCGATCGAGCAATCACGGAGATCTATGCGAAGAATTCCAGAGGGCACCAACAATCGGTCTCCCAAAAGGGCGGGCATAATTTCGAATAAATCATTAGTACGCCTGCGCAGTCGATCACGGTGATCTACAGCGCGGAATAATCCCAGCAATTACCTCCTCCACTCGATAATTCGCTGCATCATCGACTCAAACTCGTCGTATTTACCTTAAAATGAAGAATAATCCACTGCAAAATAATGAAGATCAATAAACAAAAATAATTCTAACCTAGATTGCAATTATTTGCCGAACCATGCCCGCGGCCAGTGACTCACGTTAACTTTATTTCGTAATGACACAATATAAATAAATGTATGTCAAACGACGCACGTTAGATCCGTACAAGGTAATTCGCACGTTTTGCATCGTTAAATTATGAGAATAAAATAATAACGACCCTTTAAAAAAATCCGAAATTGCATAAACAACAGTGATTCATTTCCTCGATTCTCACCCGAAATATCACATCCTCGGAATTGAATTTCTTCTGCAAACTCAAATAACGTGAAATAAATCTCGATCGATTTTTGTCCAAATAAGGAATTTCCTCGTGCATGTCCTCTCACGATAAAAAGTAAAAATGTGGACGGGGCGAGGAGAGAGGGGAGTTGAATTGAGATGAACGTTTTCATCGATCTGATCGAGGAAAGATCCGCCATATTTGGTAGAGAAACACCTCCTGCTGAGTGTAATCAAACAGCCTTCGGATAGGCGGTGAAGTAAAACCAGTACAATTAAGGTACAATTTACTATAATTCTATGGGCATTAAATTGACAGAGTACGTTGTGTCTTGACCCGTACCTAAAAGGATGTAGCATTATGTGTGGTGATTCATGATGCTCTAGTGGGGGGGAGTCGGGGGGTGATTCCGATTATCGGGATGATGTTTTTCGCACCAAATGACTCGTGGGAGGTATCACGCACGATCAAATTTAATAGAAAAACCTAGAGAGTTCGCTGGAGAATTCTATTGGATTTCTATTTAAGAAAATATTCTATAGAAGAACTCAATAGAATTTGATTTTTCTATACAGATTATTTCATTGAAATATTTTCTATAGAATTTCCTCGGCTCAAATTTTCCAAATTTTTTCATTCTGTTTGTCGTTTTTTTTCATCAAAAAAATTAGCCAAAAAAACATGGAAAATTGGAGCCGAGAGAATTCTATAGCAGCAAATGATTCGTGGGAGGTATCACGCACGATCAAATTTAATAGAAAAATCTAGAGAATTCGCTAGAGAATTCTATTTGATTTCCATTTAACTCTCTATTAGTTTTTGGATAATTCTATTGAAATGTTCAATAGAAAATATTTAATAGAAAAACTCAATAGAATTCGATTTTTCTGTATAAATTATTTCATTAAAATATTTTCTAAAGAATTTCCTCGGCTCAAAATTTTCAATTTTGTTCTTTCTATTTTTCTTCGTTTTCATTAAAAAAATAAAACAAAAAAACTTCGAAAATTTGAGGCGAGGAAATTCTATAGCACCAAATGACTCATGAGAGGTATCACGCACGGACAAATTTAATGGAAAAATCTAGAGAATTCTATTGGATTTCTATTTATTGCTCTATTAGTTTTTGGATGATTCTATTGGAATTTTTAATAGAAAATATTCTATAGAAGAGCTCAATAGCATTCGATTTTTCTATATAAATTATCCCATTAAAATATTTTCTATAGAATTTCGTCGGCTCAAATTTTCCAAGTTTTTTTATTCGATTTTTTTTCCATCAAGAAAATCAACCAAAAAAACTTCGATAGAATCGGCCAAAAACGAAGAGAATGTTCAATGGAAATCCAATAGAATTGTCTAGTGAATTCGTTAGATTTTTCTATTGAATGTTTTCATAGGTGATATACTTAGATTTTTCTCAAGTGGATGATGATGATGCCTAGCCTTGGACGGCGTTCCGTTATCAGTAAGATAGTGTTAGCTACGTCGCATTGATCGGTCAGAGAAAGGAAGAGTACGGAATTTTATTTGAAAGGCTTAGGGATTTGGTTTGGGTTGATTTCAGATTGACTTTTTTCTCGGAGATTCTTAGGGGATTTGGGAGTTCGAAGGTTTCGAGATGTCGTACGGAACTCCGCAAGTCGGGAGGAACCAGGAGAGAGATGTGAGTTTAGATATGAATGAAGAATTCAATAGATTTTTTATTTTCTTTGCGATTCAAGCTGTCGCAATTCTTTCTTTTTTTCAATAAATTGAGTTTGATGTTTTCTCACCGATTCCAGGTAATGACTGTTAATTTACGAAGCGACACATTCACGAAGCCATGTCTAGCGATGAGGCAAGCCATGTTCGATGCAGAAGTGGGCGATGATGTGTATAATGAAGATCCAACAGTAATAAGTAAATCAATTCACATTCACGCAGTAATATAAGTAATAATAATGCTAACAAGATCAATTCGCGTAAAATCAATTGTTTGAAGCTGTTGAACTGAGAGAAAAATGCAGATTCCTAAGGATGAAAAATTCTTGTTGCAAATTTTTTTCATGGATGAGGCAGAGACTCAGAAGATTGACGCAAATTCGAAGATTTCAAATAAGAATGAATACTTTGCGTGATGAGTTTGAAAGAATTTTATATGCCGTCATTGTTATTCATTTAATCAAACTCGAGCGAATTATTCCGCAAATTATTCGTTTCTGTCGGAAGGATGTTTCGATTTCAGTAGCGATTTTGAATATTCGTCATTTTTAAATGAATATTTCCAAATCTAAGGCAGATAGCAATATTTTTATTATACCATTTTCTGTGGCTTTAAATTCGCTCTACGAAAAATCTTTAGGAGAAATTTGCTATTGGATTCCCTTATGGCCCTTAGATTCGGACGTATTCGTTTTACTGTTTCGTTACTGATTTATTTCAATCTTTCAAGTCTTTACCCGATAATGCAATTTTTTTCGATTCTCTAATTTTGCTTGGACATGACTCAGAGTGGTATGAAACGTCGAGATATGATGTTTTTAGAAATAGAAAATAGAAATAGGAAAAATGTTACAATTTTTTAATTTTTTCTTCTGCCACCGTAACGATTCTAATCCATAATCTCTCCAGGATTAGAAAAATACGTTGCGGAGTTACTGGGAATGGAAGCCGCATTATTCGTATCAAGTGGAACGATGGGAAACCTAATCTCCAGTGAGTACAGCCCCATAAACCGATTTACCCCCAAAAATAAATACAGTAAGAGAAAAAACGAAATAGTATCACAAAAAAACACATTCACTCATAATGGGTGTCTACGAATACTAATATTTTTTTTCGAAAGGCGATAATATTTGCGGAAGCAAGAGAGTCTGAAATAAAACGATGAGTTTATTTATTTCCTTTGAATTGAAGGCGGAATGACGGGATGAATTGACGACGGAATGATTCACTATAATATTTTTCGAAATATGGCACTCCTTTGCCTTTTCTTTCGCCGAATTCTTCGGGTTGTTTTTTTATGTTTGTCACTGTGTTACATTTTCTTATACTTAAATGAATTTTTCGCTGAAATCCCCAGAAATTTTACTTTAACAACACTAGAATTTTTCCTCGACGGCCGATTGAGATTTTTTCCAGTATTCGCCCTCAAATTTTTGTAAAAAATTTCGTTCCCTGTAAATTCGGTAAAAGCGTCCGCAAATCTAGTGACTCTCAGGATCAAAAGGTCTGTTCACGATTCCCGAGGTCCCAATATTTAGCATCACCATCATTCTCTCATCTACTGGTACAAAAAAACATGTTCATCATGAAGTATTCACATTCAAGTCATCATCCCTCAATTTCGCTCAAGAAATTACTCAATGTTCCCTCAATCTAACGATTTATCCACCCCTCTAGTGATGGTGCATTGTAACACTCGCGGCTGTGAAATCTACATCGGCGAGGATTCTCACATCGTGCACCACGAGCAGGGATCGGCAGCTCAAATAGCGAACATCACGATCTGTCCCCTACCGAACAATCGCGACGGCACATTCGACCTGAAGCGACTGAAGCTGAAGCTGAGAGACCCCGACAACTACCACAGCCCAATTTCCCGGATGATAGGAGTGGAGAACACGATAAATGGCAAGATATTACCGATGAGATGGATCAAGGAGGTGGTGGCCTTTGGCAAGGAGCACGGATTGAAGCTTCACATGGACGGTGCGAGGATCTGGTACGCGTCGATAATCGGTGGGACTCCCATCCGGGAAATGGTCGAGGGCTTCGACTCGGTGACCTTCTGCCTGAGTAAGATAGGGGCCCCAGTAGGATCGATGCTCTGTGGCTCCAGAGAGTTCATCACCCAGGCGAGGAGAACGAGGAAAGCCCTGGGAGGTGGAATGCGCCAGGTGGGAGTTCTAGCTGCTTGTGGCTTCGTGGCACTCGACAACCTCCCCAATCTCGTCAGAGATCATGAGAAGGCTATTGCGATGATGAAGGCCATCAACCAACTCGAGTCTGATATTTTCAGAGTGCATCCCATCGATGCGCAGACCAACATGGCTTGGATCAGTGTTGAGGAGACCGATGAGATCACTGCGCCGAAGTTAGCTAAACGACTTGGGGAGGTTGAGGACGAGCATGAGGACGATCGGGTCAGGGTGTTGGCGTGGTCTGTGCAACCCAGGACTGTCAGGCTGGCTTTCCATCTCGATGTGTCTGATGAGGAAGCCCAGGCTGCACAGAGGAAGATTAGATATGTGATTAGGAAGATGGATCCTAAGTGCAAGAAGAATTGATTTTATTCTATTAATATAATCAATTCTAATTATTGACACATTACATTATATTAATCCGATAAAAAATTTTATCTCCGATTTTTATTCTTTGCTATTTTTTTAATGTATTCTATCAAAATGTGAGGATAGAAATTGAATTGATGGGTATTCTTCCATTATTTGAAAAAATATATCAATTTTAAAACTTTCCGGAGACATTGAAAAATCGAAATTTTTATTTTCTTACTGATCACGTATCTCTGTTTTTTTTCACTTTTTTCCATTAAAATTAGATCATAGAAAGGGAACATAATGATATTTTTTCGGCATTTAAAAAAAAATGAAGGAGGTACCATAAAAAATGAAAAAGATGGAAATAGTTATGTGAAAAATGTAGTACATAGAGAAATTTTTGAACAATATGTGAAAAATATATAGATCATTCAAAAAAAAGTATCAATACTCTCCTTATTATTTAACATAATTATCTCTTCATTTGAAAATGAAAAAAACTGTTCCCACAATTTGTATATTACAATGGGATTAGAATCCAATAAATTTAATTTAATTTAACCGCAAAGAAAAATTGGAAAGAAAACAATAAAATAAATTAACATAATATAATATAATCTAGCGACGGGCGCGAAGCGCCCGTTCGCTAGTCAATAATTAATTCTAATTATTCTAATTACTGATTATATTCTATTAATATTATATTATAGAATTGATTATATTATTAATGATCAATTCTATATAAAGATTCAATATACTCAATTCCGTCAATAATGAATGATTTATCAACTGCTTCTTCTAATTATTAAAGAAACCTCTTTCCACGAGCGCAACTCTTTCTAGGAATTTTGTTTTTAAATTTTTATGACGTTGCCATATTTATTCCGTCTTGTATTATTTTTTTTGTGATATTATATTTTGTTGATTATTGTAGATAAATAAATTTAGCCCTGAAGAGGACAGGCTGTTAGTGTTTGTATATTTGTACTGTTAGTGTTATGTGGTTATTTTAAAAATGTAACTAATAATAGTCGGCCATGTAGTAGTGATAGGAATAAAGTCCATTTTCATTTTAAAATTTGTAAAATTATAAATTTTAAATCAATTTCCAGATGTCAAAAAAATGTGTTGAAGTGACTTTTTTCCTTGCGTTTAACACTCTTATGAAGGGGTTGACACAATAACTTGGAAGGGTTCTTTCAAGCCTAGAACCTCTAGTTTTGTAGAAATAATTTTGATAAATATAAATTCGCCAACGTTTTGAATGAAAATAAAAATAGTTTCTTCATAATTGGTGAAACTGTAAGATTTTTAAAAATCATAACTCCAACAAAAAATTAAAACTTTAAGTAATTAGAACGAATTAGAATGAGATTAAGTTAACTATAACTTCATCTCATGATGGACTGCCCAGGGAAATATAACGTGGACGTGCGGTATACAAGATAATTTGAAATGATAAATATCTTTTCGAAAACATGATGAATTTTTTCATAATTCGCGCAAATCAACGAACCATGAAATAGTTAATACTCATTTTTTTTATTATTTATCATTTTTTAATTTATACTGGAAAATAGAAAACCTCCGTCATGTGGCATATGTCTCAGTTATTGCCACCATTCGGTCGTCAATTTTCAGCTCGATCCATCCATTAAAAAATCGCTGAGGGTGGCGGAAACCGGGAGAGCGAATTTTCAGTTGTTTGTCGCTGGATAAAAATATTTTAGGTTAATAACACTCTCATACAAGAGATTTGTGGTAATTCCCAGTATTCCGTGATATCACGAGATAGCCGGGTTGCATTCGTGAGGAACCGGAGAATCATTTCGCGGGGTTTTCGTGAAATTCCCAACGTCATCGATTTTCCAAGTAAACCGAAAATAACTCTCACAATACATTCATATCCCGGAGTTAAATTTTTAATTAGTCCATTGGTTAATTCTCCCCAACAATTTTTAAATTACTAAATTAATCACCAATTAAATATTCAACTTCCGAATTATTTTATCAATCAATAATTGAGTTCGGGGAATTGCCGATTATTTCGCTAATTGCAATTTTTTTTTAAGGATATCCAAGTACTTTGGCTATTTTTTCTTCAGTGAAATGATTTTCTACTTTTGTAATGGAATATCAGAGCTTTCATTTGAACTCCATTTGACCCTCAGTTTCCGTAAAACATTTTACAATGTTTACAATTTTACAATTTAAATTTTGGAGGTCTGATTTTGAATCTCGACATTGAATCGTTAGAAAACATTTTAAAAATTTGAAAAAACATCAGAAAGTTTGCAATTTCGTAATAGCAATTTTTTGACAATTACGAGCAATTTCTGTAAATAATTCATAAACAATCAATTTTCCACTATAAAAATCATGTGTTCAGAATTGTAATATATTTATTCATATTTTAAATTTTTGCAGAAATCCATTCCATGCCTAAAAAACTAAGAAAGTTCAAACAATTTCAATTATTTATTTACAAACAGTGAATGTTTTACAAAATAATAATTCTGTGCAAAATGTAATTTGAATTACATAGTTTAATTAACCAATTTGATCATTGAAAGTGCAGTCTGTACCAAACTGTACAATATGCTTGGATATCCTTAAGAAATTTAGAATTATTTACTCAGTAAGCAATTGACGATAGGTACCACATTGTCAATTATTTAATTCATAGGCAGTTGAAAATTTAGATCATCAAGTGTTTTATTATTTTTCAAATTTCAATGAAGACAGGTGAACCTTGATTATTTTAAGGCGCAACTTCCCTTAGTATTAATAATATGTGGAGGTCCACGTGAAAAGGAGCCACTTTGTCGATTCTAGTTTCCGAGATATTTACGTTTTTGTGTCAGCAACTCCCATTTGCACCAATATTAAATTGCTTTTTCCATCTTCTCTAATGACATCATTTTTTACCCCATGAAGATCATTTTGGGGTCAAAATGTGCGAAATGTTATTAATATTATCAGAGTATACATAACACCATATCGACAAAGTGGTCCCTTTTCATGCGGACGTCCACATATAATGATTGACGTCGATCCCTGGAATGGGATAATATGGACACTTGTCTTTTTAAAAAGTGTTAGGTAATAGTTCATTGAACTATTGATCGAACGGAATAGTTTTTTTAGCTCTTCCTCTTTAGTAAAAAAATCCATTCTACTCCCCTATAGTTTCAGATGATGACTGTCGATTTGCGCACTGACACTATCACGAAACCATGTCTCGCGATGAGACAAGCCATGTTCGATGCCGAAGTGGGGGATGACGTGTATCGAGAAGATCCAACAGTTATCAGTAAACTCTTTTCTTTCTTTTCCCATTGAGGAAAATTATACTCCATTATAGTTGTTATTGCAAGAATGGGATGATGAAACAAGTCTAGCGAACTACATTCGTGGTCAATTTTTATTTCATGTCTTCCGGTCCGAGGGGGACACGGAATTGTTTTGAATAATTTTCTTTGTAGAGTAAAGGCCAATGAGATGTAACATAATTTTGTTATAGTGAATGAAAAATCTGAATGTCATCACTACATTATTTCACGCATGACAAAATTTCACGGAAAAACATTGCGAATTCGATAAGATATTCTAGGGAATTCCTGCTGAACTTCTATTTAAAGTTCTACTAGTTTTTGATCAGAACTATTGATGAATTCGACAGCTTTACTGCGCGTTTTTTTTATTTTGCAGAATTTCAACTTCTATACAACTTTTTTTATTGAAACATTTTCTGTACGAATTCGTCGGCCTGAATTTCCCAATTTTTTCCACTCAATTTTCTTCTCGTTTCGTTGAAAAGATCAAAGGAAAAACTCAAAAAATTTGAGCTGAGGAATTTCTGTAGAAAATATGTTAAAAGAATAATTATATATTTTCCATTGAATTTTTGGATTGAAAAAAGCCCGCAGATTAGCTGCTGAATTTTTCGATAGAATCGGACAAAAACTGATAGAAAATTCAATTGAAATCCAATAGAATTTCCTAGCCAATTCGCAATGTTTTTCTAAGAATTGTTTTCTACGTGTTCCTCTGAGTTTATAACAATATTTTCACCAAGAATGCAAAATGAAAAATACAACATGATTTTCACAATTACTTTACGAGGAATTATTATTATTTTTTTATCAGTTTAAAGTATAAGGAATTATTTTATCGCAGACTTTTGTTCATCAGCATTAAATCACGTGCGACCACTTCAACCCCATCTTTAATCAAATTCACTGTTTAGAGCTCGAAGAGTATGTTGCTGAGTTGATGGGTAAGGAAGCTGCGCTGTTCGTGACGAGTGGAACAATGGCAAACTTAGTCTCCAGTATGTACCCCGAAAAACCTATTTCCCCATTCTCAAAAAAAAAAACAAAATTGTTGATATCAGAAAACATTGAGTATAATTTCTGATAGTTTCAAACTCAAATTAGTTAGTTCAAATTAATTAGTTTACAAAAATAAAAATCTGCGCCTTTTTTACATAAAAAATTACACAATCTTTTTTACAGAATTCTAATAGAACTCCAAGAGAATTCTTACAGAGTTCGAGCAGAAATTCGTTAGACTTTCTCATAAAAAGCGCTGGATTCGTCGATGAAATTTTCTCATGCATTAATTTCCGTGAATTTTCGTTCTTCAATTTTTCAATTTTATTATGAGAAACGAATAAAAATACAGCAGAAAAACCTTGCAAAATTTGCGCCCAAGAATTTCTATAGAAAAATAAGAATCTATTTTTCACTATCACATATCCCTTAGCAAAATTATTATTAATAAAATTCTAATAGAACTCCAAGAGAATTCCCAGAGTTCCACCAGAAATTCACTATAACTGCTCCCAGAAATAAATTTAAAAAAAAACTTCTCCCAGAAATCGTTAAATTGTTCTATTAAATTCTCCGACACGTGAACATTGCCACCACCAATGATGAATTTTCCTACCAGTCATGGTGCACTGTGACACTCGTGGCTGTGAGATGTACGCGGACGAGAACTCCCACCTGGTGCTGAACGAGCAGGGTTGCGCCGCCCAAATAGCAGGTGTCACGCTCCGCCCATTTTCAACGAATCCCGACGGTACATTTGACCTAGAAAAATTGAGAGGAAGGCTCAGGAACCCTGCGTTCGTCCAAAGTTCCATCTCCCGATTGATTTCAGTGGAGAACACGGTGAATGGGGCTATAGTTCCCATGAAATTCCTGAAGGAAGTCGTGGAATTCGGGAGGAGACACGGACTGAAGCTGCACATGGACGGGTCGAGGGTCTGGCACTCTGCGATGATCCCTGGAACCCCCATCAAGGAGATCGTCGATGGCTTCGACTCAGTGTCTTTCTGCCTGACTAAGCTGGGGGCTCCAGTGGGCTCGATGCTCAGCGGCTCCAGAGAGTTCATCCTCCAGGCGAGAAGGGCCAGGAAGGTCCTGGGGGGAGGGATGCGCCAGGTGGGGGTCCTGGCTGCTTGCGGCTTCGTGGCGCTGGAGAATCGCTTCAAACTCGTCGAAGATCACCAGAGAGCAGTCGCGATGATGGAGGCTATCAACGAACTCGGGTCCGACGTCTTCAGAGTCGACGTCGGAAGGGTCCAGACGAACATGGTGTGGATCGACATCGAGGAGACGGAGGGGATCACTGCTACTGGGTTCGCTAAACGACTTGGGGAGACCGAGGATGACCATGAGGATGACCGGGTCAAGGTGCTGGCCTGGTCGGTACTCCCGAGCATTGTCAGGCTCGTTTTTCATCTGGAAGTCACCGACGAGGGGCTGCAGGCCGCGACGAGGAAGGTTCGCTATTTGGTCAAAAAGATGGATCCGAAGTTCAAGGTCAACTCGGAATGAGTAGGTGGAAATGCTCGGAGAGAAATTTCGATGATAATAAATATCTTGATAATTAATTAATCAATTGTTACATGATTACTTGATTTGACAATTGTTGATTTTGGTATAAAATTATCCAATTAGTGTTTTTATAGACTTTGAAATGGATGTCATTTTTTTAAATTTTTATTATTAAAAAAAAAATTTTTTTTTAATTGAAAACAATGTAATTAAAAAATTGTGAGAGACCGAGGATGATCTGGAAGTCACTGAGGAGGGGCTGGAGGCGTCAACGAGGAAGGTTCGCTATTTGGTCAAAAAGATGGATCCGAAGTTCAAAGTCAAGTCGGGATGAGTAAGGGGAAATGCTTGGAGAGAAATTGTTATGGAGCATTTTTAAGCATTGAGAAACGTGTACATTCCCAGAATTGTGCGAAGAAAGATAAAGAAATTGTTATTTTTAAATATGTTTTTTTATATTTCATTTTCATAACTATCGATATTTATATTGAGATGGTGATAGTTGTGAAATCGTCAATGAATTGATAATAAATATCTTAATAATTAATTACCAATCGTTATATGATTACTTGATAATCCCTCGTTTGTCACATCATCATTTTTCGTCATCCTTGAAGATGACCTCAATTTGTTGATTTAGGTAACTGTGTTGAATACAATATTTACAATCATTAATTTAGTACCTTATCAGTCCTGAAATATAATCGCGGTGATAACACTACAGATATTTTTTCAGAAAAATTTATCCTGTTAGTACTTCTATACGCCTCGAAATAAATGTCATTTTTTTGAAATTTTTATAGAAATCGAAAACAATGTAATTCAAAAAAATGTGAAATTGTTTTCGTTGATTCCTGTCAACGAAAATTATGTAAATTTGTTATGTTTTTTTCAATAAATGTTGATTTTTTCTGTATGAATTCTTGGGCACAAATTTTCCAAATTTCTTTTTTTGAATTTTATTATGATAAACAAATAAAAAACAGCAGAAAATTTATTCCCAAGAATTTATATAGAAAAATCCAAATCCATTGACTTTTTTCCATACAATATCTTTTGAAAAAACAGAAAAATTGCATAATCATTAATGGGCGCAGACAACAAATAGAATCTCAACAGAACAACGATGAAATTCTTATACACTTCTAATATAAATTCATCGGAATTGCTTGACAAAGGCGCTAGATTTTTCGATTAACTTTTTTCATACATATGTATCATCCCTTATCACCTAATTAAATACAGCATTTTCTATTGAACAATTCAATAGAATCGGCCAAAAACTAATTGAAAGTTCAATAAAAATCCAATAGAATTTTCTAACAAATTCGCTGTTTTTCTATGAAATTTTTTCGTGCGTGCAGCGAAATAATAATTTTTCTGATAAAAAAAAAACCATCACAATATCGCTGCAGCCATTTCTTGGTCAAAATTTTCGCCGCAAGTGCTTCCATCCACTTCAAAATGAGGTGTAATTTTTCTTAAATTTGCATATAGCTACAAAACAACGTAATTCGTATTGACATAAAACCATACCAACAGTGTTAAAGTAATGACATACGGAAGTGCACAACCAGGAAACAGCGATGATAAATGACTACAGGGAATTAATTAAATGGAAACAAAATCCAGTTCCTCAACAGAACCACGACGTCACACGGACGAAAAAAGCTAATAGAAAAACCTATAAAATTCGTTAGAAAATTCTATTGAATTTCTATTGAACTGTTCTCTTAGTTTTCGGCCGATTCTATTGAAATGTTCAATAGAAAATATTCAGTAGAAAAAGTCAATAAAATTCAATTTTTCTGTATAACTTATTCTATTAAGATATTTTCTGTAGAATTTCCTCGGCTCAAATTTTCTAAGTTTTTTCGTTTGATTTTCTTGATGAGAAGAAAGGAAAAATAGAATGAAAAAAACTTAGAAAATTTGAGTCGAGCAAATTCTATAGAAAATATATGAAAAGAATAAATTATATAGAAAAATCGAATTCTGTTGACTTTTTCTATTGAATGTTTTCTATTGAATTTGTCAATAGAATCAGCCAAAAACTAATGGAAAGTTTAATAAAAATTTAATAAAATTTTCTAACGAATTCGATGGGTTTTTCTATTAATTTTTTTCGTGCGTGCACCTGCGCATTTAATGAAATATCGCTAATCTTGATTGAGGGCTGACAGACGCGATAAAGAAAGCACTGTTGGGAAGCCCGGTGTTCTGAATTCTCGGTTCTCCCAATTACATTTGACCACTTCATCGAAACAATTTGCGATTGTTAAATTGAGGAAGATCTCCTTGCGATATTGTTATCCTTATTATCGCGCGGGTTTCCCCTGACTTTTAACCGTGCGGCATTGATCAATCTCTCTGGCCATGACTCGAGCTTCGAGCCCCCGGTGTTGCTCTTTTCCGGGAGTAATACATCTTATGTCATGACATATTGATGAGCAGTCGATTAGCAACTGTGTTTCATAGTTCCGCGTGGTCTGCTATCAGCCGCAAAGAAAAAGAACAAAAGGAGGAAAATCGATAATAAATTGGAGGGTATATAAGGACACTTGGTTTTGAGGAATTCATACAGTGCCGATATTGACTTCGGACAGGTTTCACATCAGTTCTGCTTTGTTATTTTACCGGTTAAAAGGATGTCCTACGGAAGTGCACAAACTGGGAAGAATTATGGAGCACATGTAATTATTGAGGATTTAATTTGAAATCGTTGACGAAAAAATTGTCATTAGGTCTTCACCGATTCTATTGAAAAAATCCGCAGCTTTTTTGGACCTTTTCTTTCAATTGAAAATTCTTAATAGAAATTATTCTCTTTTTAAAAAATGAATGGAACGTTTCTGTCGGCTGTAATTTGAATTTATTTATAGGTATTATTATAGCCATAATTGTAGTTATAGATAGCTGTAGTTATAAATAATTATGCATAACTGTAACTCTTTAATTTGAAATAATAAATAGTAAAGAATAGTAAGAATTACAGTTATGCATAACTATTTGTAATTATAGATGTAAATATTTATTGGTATGCGAATAAATATCGACAACTATAATTAACTCTATAGCTATAATATTTTTAAAATTCGAAAGTGGCACATGAATTTGGATAATAGGGATATACAATAAATTTCATGCATTCATGAGGAATAAATGTATTTTTTAGAAAAACCTAGTGAATTCGATATTTCTATAGAATATTTTCTATGGAAATGTCGTTTTTCATCAATCTTCCTCTTATTAAAAAAACCAAACAAAAATACTTGGAAAATTTAGGAATTTCTACGGAAGTCATCTCGATAAAATAAGTTGCCCAAAAAAAGTCAAATTCTAGTAATTTTTTCTAGTCTATAAAATATATTACATTAAACATTTGTATAGAAAAAAAGATGCAAAAGCTGCGAAATTTTTTAATAGTCGGCGAGAAATTAATAAGACATCTTCTATTAATTTTTTTCGGACGAGATGTCAACGAATGGTATTTTTTTTAACAGCTGCTTCACGTTGTGCATCATTTTACAGGTAGTTACCGTCGACTTTCGCAGTGACACTGTGACAAAACCATGTGCTGTTATGAGAAAAGCCATGCACGATGCAGAAGTTGGTGACGATGTTTATCATGAAGATCCAACGACAAAAAGTAACTTTTTTTACTCTCGTTAATAAAAATCGAGTATTGGGGACATTTAAAGCATTCTCTCGTGATTTGTGTTCGCAGGACTAGAAGAATATGTCGCGGATTTAATGGGGATGGAAGCTGCATTATTCGTGTCCAGTGGAACGATGGGAAATTTACTGTCCAGTGAGTATAATTATTCATAAAACGATTTACGTTAAAAATCCAAATGATCGAGAATAATTGAGTAAATCAATTAATTAAATAGGCATAATACAACGGTATGTGGGGGTGCAGGAAGTAGTTTGAACGAAATTTTTTTTTATAATTGTGGACTTTTTTTTTTATTTAAAAAAATTGTGGAAATGATATTTAAAATGAATTGATCAAGTTTTCCAGTCTTAATTCATTTTTAAATATCGAACCTCTGTAATTTTGGTGGATTAAGAAGAAATTTAGTTATTTTATTCTAGCATCAGCCAATGTGAACTAAAAATAAAATTATTTTAAGTAGCTCTATCCTTTCGCCGAACAGCGCTATAAATTCGCATATTTTTTGAATTTCTAAATTAAATTTCGTGAGAAAATTAAAAAAAAATCATACCTAAAATTTTGTGAATAGTAACATTTTTTGTAACATTCTCTTCTCATAAATAATAATGCAACTTGCTTAGAAAACACTCGATCATCTTTTACGAGGTGTCCAAAAATTTCTCGATTTTTATACGACTAACGAAAATAAAAATCAGATTTTATATTTACACACACGAAAAAATTTCCTGAAAAACCTAGCGAATTAATTAAAAAAATCCGTTGGATGTCTATTGAACTTTTCATGATTTTTGGTCGATGCTATTGATAAATATCGCAGCTTATCACATATTCAATGTTCAACAGAAAACATTCTATAGAAAAAAAAATGTAAAATGGTCAATCTGCAATTTCCTCCCCTTTTTCCTCAAAATGCAAAACGATCTTGAAATTGCCAAAAAATGGGGCTACAGTTTTTCCATTAAATTAATTGAAGGAATAAATTCCTCTCGTTAGCAATGGTGCACTGCAACACCCGTGGCTGTGAGATGTACCTCGGTCAAGACGCCCACATGGTGCACCACGAGCAGGGTTCAGCAGCGCAAATAGCAAACGTGACAATTTGCCCGATCCCCAACAACCCCGACGGCACGTTCGACCTGAGACAAGTGAGACTGAGACTCAAGGACTCCGCAAACGTTCACAGCTCCATCTCCCGAATGATGGCAGTGGAGAATACGCACAACGGCAAGATTCTCCCGATGAAATGGATCAAGGAGGCAGTGGCATTCGGCAAGAAGCACGGACTGAAGCTTCACATGGACGGTGCGAGAATCTGGTACGCCTCGATAATCGGTGGAACTCCCATCAGAGAAATCGTCGAGGGCTTCGACTCAGTGACCTTCTGCCTGAGTAAATTGGGGGCCCCAGTGGGATCAATGCTCTGTGGTTCCAGAGAATTCATCGCCCAGGCGAGAAGAACGAGAAAAGTTCTGGGAGGTGGAATGCGTCAGACTGGAGTTCTAACTGCTTGTGCCCTAGTGGCCCTCGAAAATCTGCCTAAAATCGCCAAAGAACAGGAGAAAGTAGCTGCGATGATGAAGACAGTAAACGAACTTGACTCTGATATATTCAAAGTGCATCCCATCGATGCCCAGACAAACATGGCTTGGATCAGTGTTGAGGAGACCGACGAGGTCACTGCGCCAAAATTCGCCAAACGACTTGGAGAGATTGAGGACGAGCATGAGGATGATCAGATCAGGGTGTTGGCATGGGCTGTGCGTCCCAGAATGGTGAGATTCGTTTACCACCTTGACGTTACTGAAGAGGGGGCTAGGGCTGCCCAGAGGAAGGTCGAATATGTAATAAAGCAAATGGATCCTAAATTCAACAAGACCCTGAATTTCATATACGAGAACAAGGAAAACAAGGAAAACGAAATAGCTTGCGAACTGGAGAAGAAATTGTACATTCAACAAGTATAATTATGCTGATTACAACTGTCAAGTGATATCATCCCATCAATCGTCTAAATTATTGTAAATGTATTCAAACTGTATTATACGTGAAAAATGACTCATTCACCTTAGAAATAAAAAAAAATCAACAAAATGATCGATTCATTCAATGAAACCCCTAGTTCTGCAATTCACAATTCATTTATTCTCACCTCTGGAAAATCCTGTTCGATTACAAAATCACGATATATCAATGATGAAATAATTAATAATTCAGTTAATATTTTAGAATACCAATAGCTGTTGCGCAATTCCTTCCCCGAGAAAATCAATTTTGGAAGGCATCGTTGACAGGCTCGTCTTCGTCGTCGTCCTCCTCCTCCTCGCTCTCAAAAGTGTTGTCGGGGATGTCGTAGAGTCGAATCATGGGTTTGTTAGGGTCCTTCATGATGAGGTACTTTCCATCCTTCTGCTTGAGACAGATGTCGATGATGCACCGAAGAATTCCCCAGGCATTGTCCATGTTCAGGTTAATCTGGGTGGCGAATTCATTTGGTTTGTACTGCTGCGTCCCCAGAATGACGTGTTTGCTCGAGTCACGAACACTAGCCCTCGACACGTACCCAAACTTGAGCTGGTCAGACCCAGCCAGGATGGCCTGGACCGTCCACTTGGCCAATTTACATGCATTATTCCTCAGTTCATTGGCGAGCACAGCTCCACGTTGGGTATCCAACTTCTGCCTCCACTCAACTCCATTAGCGAGCTTGGAGTCCCATTCGTTCAGAGCCTTGATCGTCAGGAATTGGGTCTCACCGTTGGGTCCTTGCATAACTGCGTCATGCTCACACCTATAGAATAAAGTTATAATTAGTTTGTTAATGTGCAAAGTTCAAAAAAATTCAACAGACAAATTCTATGAATATATATAAAATAAACTAACAGTGATATTCGATCTTGACTAATTAAAACAGAGTTACAGTAAAATTAAAACAAGAATTCAGAAATTTTTTTATATAATTCATGTCATTTAATCATTAATGCGAGGAGGCAAAACAAAGAAAATTTTTGTAACACCAAAGAGATGAATAAATAAAAATAAAAAATATATCAAATAAAGGAAACGAATAAAAAGCTCAACAGAAAATATTTTTTTACATCTATTCGCTTACACATTCTTTCTTGCATATTTCTATAGTTTTTCTCATCAACTATTTGTTGATTTATTCATTTTTTGATTGAATCATATCCTTCGTATTTCAATAACTACAATGTGCTCAAAAAAACTAAATGAGTTCTGCTTTTAAATTGTTTGTTGTGCTTGAAACGCATGTGAGAGGAAATCTGTGATGAATTGGTGAACTAGGATAAGTGCATTTTTTTCAAAACAATTTTTCCAATTAAAACTCCTTTAATTTTCTCATTTTTTTACTCAAATGAGAGAATAAATGCCTCAACAAACACAATTACTCCATTTACCTGCAGATGAGAGTGATCCCATTGTTGAGATCCCACTTCCTGTAGCGATATGCAACACTGGCCACATCGCCCTCCTCCTCCTCCGAGATGAAGGGATTGCCCTCCTCGAACTTGTACCTGTTCTCACTGGACTTGAGCACTTGCTGGGAGAAATTGTGATTGATAAAGGTGGCCTCAAGGGCGAGGTTCCTGGGGGAGTTCAACGAGTTCCCATCGTCCTGCGGTGGCTCCACACTCGTCTCATTGACCGTCAACAGATCGAACTCTGTGTTATCCCTCTTATCGAAGAAGAGCTTGTCTCCGATCTTCTCAATGACAATGTCCCAGGAGTAGTTGCTCCTGGTGCAGCACATTATCGTCGCGAGAATGGCATCTGTCGCGAAGACAGTGCCTTCGGTTTTCGAGAGCTTGCGGATCACTGGGTCGTCAGTGGTTGTTACTGTATGGAAGATGCGATCGATTCTCTGCAGGGGTTTTTCATTTTTAACGTTCACTCGGTCGTAGGTTTTGTCGTAGTACTCGAGGGAGCCACAGCAGAGGACATCGTCGGCGTCCTTGATGCCAGGAAGGGAGAGTTTGGCTAGACGAGGGAAGTCCATCTCCTCGATTGTCACCCAGTCGGGGCGAACGGTCACAGAGGCGTCTCGAATTTTTATTGGCGGCTGGTTCTTGTGGTTCCTGAGACCCTGCTGGCGGCCCCACCGCTTCGTCTGTCCCTTGCGCTCGCGCTCGCGGAGCTTGAGCTTACCCAGCTGCTGCATCTGGTTCATACCCCCACGCTGACCACCACGTCCGCGCATGTTGCGCTGGTTCTTGCCGAAACGACCCCGTTGGTACGGCGGCTTTTGCACGCGGGTCGTGTCGACCAGGTGGAAGGTCGACTCGTCCTCGTCGTGGTAGTAGGCGTATTGACTGCCTGAACCGAACTGCGAGGCGTATTTGTCTGGGGGGGGGGAGAACTTTGTTAGTTTTTCTGATGTGAATTAAATTATTTAGTGATTGTTTATATTATTATTAATTTATTATTTAATGATTTGACATATGAGCCCCATGATCTTTATTCTGAACCTGTGACCCTTCATCTGACCTTCATTATATCCCTCGTGACCCTTATTTTGATCATTAATTTTGGAATCTTAATTTCTAGTTCAGAATTTTCATCAGCAGAAGTCGATTTGTATTTTTTTTTATGGCGTAGAGAGATATTTAGAGACCCTTATTTTGACCCTTAATTTTGGAGTCTTAATTTTGAGTACTGGATTTTTATCACCAGAAATCGAATTGGATTTTTATAATATAGTGAATATATTTGGTGTGATAATTAATTTTCAAGGGTTCCTAGATTGGATTTCTCTAAAGGATATTCCATTTTTTCAACCCAAAATCTGTCGGTTGCCAGGAAATATGTTTAAAAGTTGGAGACAGCGATGGACGATAAGTTGATTAAAATGTACTTAGATTTTCAATGAATTGAGAATTCTAGGAAATTTTATACAGAATATTGTTGCTTTTACTGTAATTCTCATCGTTGAATTTTTAATGAAATCTAAACCTTCAGGATTGATTTTTTGAATTTCTCTGGAACTTCAATTAAAGAATTCAGCAGGTTCACTGCACGTTTTCTACCAAATTTTCTCGTACGTGAAAATTCTCTCCAGAGCCTATCCCGTGCACTGTTATCGTAAAATCATTGAGGGACAATGAGAGATCTTCAATTTTCACGTATTGCCACATAATTTAGACACATTTTCTCCAGTAAATTCCAAATTGGTGATTTTCCCCACAATTTTTTCATTTTCTCATCACACCAATTAATTGAAAATTTCATTAGCGAATTCTGAAGGATTAAAAAACACGAGAAATTCCCATTTTCCCCCTATAGGGCCTATACCCCAAAAAAAATCATCTTCCCTAAAAAAAATCGTGACACAGTCCAATGTTTTGAGGTTAGAAATGTCTTGAAAGAATAAACCACTCACTTGTGAATTTCTTATCCTGGAAGGCCGAGCCAGTCCAATCCGAGATCTACAAAACCAACATTATTATCAAATCTGTGAGGAAACTGTCAAAATCACAGGCAATATGCCTCGACCCCTCACCTTGCCGAGCCTGTCGCCCTTGGAGAACGGCTGGTACGGTATATCCTTGAATTGATCCGGCAATTCACACGGGCCCCAACCATCCGTATTATTCTGAATGGCTGGTGCAGCAAAATGCACTTTTTCCTCCTCCTGAGGCAGCAGAATTTCCTCTAACTTCTCCTCCGACATTTTGGCAACTGGATTCTCTGTTTTCTCCGCGTGCACCATTGGACGCCCGAGAGAATCACGCCGACATACCGCACCCGGATTATTGCCAGCAAAACGGAAGGTATGGAAACTCCATTTTGCCTAGAAACACTGGGCGCATGCGCTCTGCACGAATAGAAATTTCAAAGGCAAATTTACGATTTTTTTAATTGTCCCTCGAACATTTTAGTTGTTGTAATGTGGAGAATTATTGTTATTTGTTAAGATGTCAGGTTTTTGAGGAGACTATTTAAGACTTTTTTTCAGTACTTTTTTTTTCAATAATAATAGAATTAGGTTTAATATATAATTTAATTATATAATAGAATTTTCAATTTTAACAAATTTCTATAGGAGTTCTCTGAGAATTCTATTAAAAAATCTTTTTTTTTACCGTTTTTGTTCCAAATTTTTGAAAAAATGTCTACAATAACAATTACGAATTAGTTTTTTGAAATTCGACTCCTACACAGCGAATTTTGTGTTGTTAATATAAAAATTTGCGCCATTCATGGCGAATATAGTTGAACAAAATACTTTATAAGAATTTTAGTGGAGATCTGTTGATATTCGATTAAATAATTCTATCGGTTTTTGGGCCTCTTCTCTTGAAGATTAGGCAGCAGATCTTTATTATTCTTCAAAAATGCTTGGGCAAACATTTTCCAAGCTCTTTCCGCTGGATTTTTATTCGCTTCTCATAGTAAAATGGAAGAAAAATAATTAGGAGAATTCATTCCCAAGAATTCTTATGGAAAAAATTTCTACAGAATTCGTTATATTGAAAAATCACTGATTATAAACTTTTTCTATCAAAAAATAACTATTGGGGACAATAAGGTAGAGATGCACAATTTTTAAAAGATTTGGTACAAAAAATACTAAAAATTCAATACAATTTCTGAGAGAAAATGTTAGCTTTTCCTAATATATTTTATCATATGTGTTGTTATCCTTTGGTGTAATAATTCATGATGGAAATATATTTCTCAAAAAATTAAATATCGCTGTTTTATTATTGATTTTCAAAGGTCCTTGTTTATCTTCTTGATTATTTTTATTTTTATTCAATCTTCATTTTAATAAATCTTCATTTTTATTTTTATTCAATCTTCTTCATCTGCTTGTTTATTTTTATATTTATTAAAAATGGATAATTCTTTGTTTTTGTGATGTTTTTTTCAATGAAAGGTGAGGATTTTTTCGAACTTTTTCGACTGAGCGGAATAACCTATGCGCAACGACACTGCGCACATGCAAAATGGCCGCCGTGCTCCTGTTTTTTGGCGTTCGTCTCCGTGTTTTAGATGGAATCAGAGGTAAAATCATCAAAATAACTGTTAAAAATGCTATAATTAGTTGATAATAAGGAACAACAACGATTAGATCACAAAATCCGTAATTATTTCGATGAATTAAGTGTGTTGAAACGTAAAAACAAAAATTGCCGAAGAACAAAGGAAAAATCTCTGCGCATCATCTCTACGCACATCAAAAATGGCCGACATGTCTCGAGGTTTTGGCGCTCGTCTCCGGATTTTATCCGAAATCAAGGGTAAAACCATCAAAATAATTATTCAAAATTCGATTAATAGTTGATAACAAAGGACCACAATAATTTTGTCATGAGATCTACAACTGTTCTGATGAATTAAGAGTGTTGAAACGTAAAAACCAAAATTATCATGAGAAAAACCTGTGCGCAACATGTCGCGCACATAAAAAATGGCCGACAAGTGTCTAGGTTTTGGCGTTCGTCTCCGGATTTTATTCGAAATCAAGGGTAAAACCATCAAAATAATTATTAAAAATTCGATTAATAGTTGATAACAAAGGACCACAATAATTTTTTCATGAAATCTACAATTCTTCTGATGAATTAAGAGTATTGAAATGTAACAGCAAAAATTATGAGAATAAAAACGTCTGCGCACACTCATAATGACTGCCCTGACGGAGTTACTGATCAAATCATCAAAATAATGAATGAATAAGGTGATAATTAATCAATAATGATGGACGGCTACTATCTTACGACGAAATGGTTGAATATTTCGATAAATTACGAGTTTGAAAATGATATGGACGTTTCGAGTAGTGGAAATCTGGAGTCTCCATGTGACCGACGTATTTGTGACGTCACTAGATGACGCTCAGAGGCAATTCTGAATGATCAATTTAGTTTGGGAGAGTTTTTTTGGAAAATTTTGAAGGCTTTCAATGACTCTTTAATCCGTTAAAAACGTGATAAGACTTTAATACATTAAAAACGTGATGAGTGAAAAAAGTGGACACAGGATTTCATCAGAATGTTAGTGTTGTGAATTGTGAGCAAGTTTTTCTTATATTAATCAAGTGATAAAGTGATTTAAAGTGCTCTCGGCAATTTCTTTGTCGACGTGTGTATAAATACGTAAGATGGCTGTTTCAGTCATGTTTGTGCGGGATTTAATTTCAAAAATTTTTAGTGCAAGTGATCTTCATGGAGACGAGCTTCTGGAGGCATTAGAGAGCATCTCAACGTCTAGATGAGGATTTCAACGGCTGGTGAGTCACTTAAATTTACAATTAAAAGTTGACAGTTGTCAATCGCAGATATCTCGAGATGGGCTGAGATTTCAATTTTTAATTCATTTTGAAGAGCTTTTCAGCCTATGAAATGAATTTTCTCTCTCGTCCAATCGGTCATTAGACCCAGAGATATTGATGATTTAAGAAGGTCTGTTTTACTATACTTTCTATTTTGTATTTATCATCGGTCCTTTTTTACCTGAATATCTATTTTGACATGTCGCTGACAATTTCCGGGTCTCAGGGCCCATGAACAAGGGGATAAATAGATGAAAATCAATTCCATCTATTTTTGCTTCCCAATGCAAGCAGTGAGATAGTTCTATTTTTAGATTTTCAATTTTAGAAAAAATCCAAGGTTCTGATATTTGGCCCCGGGTGGAAAAAAAAATTTTTATTTCGACATTTACGGCGCCTCCGAAGGTTTTATTGGCATTAGAGGGGCCAATAAATACGGAATCAACCTTCACTAGGCGAAAAAATTCGATTTTGGCGAAAGTCGGGTTTCCCCTGGGAAAAATCCTTGGATTTGGATCCGACACTTTCGCCCCAGGTGAAAATGAAAATTTTCCATTCCAGCATTTCCGGCGCCTCCGAGTGTGCGCAAAAAATTCGCCCAAAATTGGTGATTACCATTAAAAAGATTTCCGTCATTTCCAAATCCACCGTACAAAACCGTTCTCCCGTTGCAATAGCCCATTTACCTCTCCACTGTCTGACTCAATTTATTATATTCTACTGGTCGATGACCAGTTCGATGCAGTTAATAAATCCGCTTGAAATGAGATAATCCCTTCATCATTTCTTCAGCAAATGTCGTACCAGTCGACATTTCCTGAAGAAATCTCCAATACCGAACCCTGTTTAACCGCCTGATCAGAATCTGCACATCCGGGAACAAAGAGGATAGACTAAAGTAGAGGCTCAGATCTCGGGGTTCAGACGACCCCAAGCCGAAAATAGTATCACCCCAACGGAGCGATGACGCCACGGTCGAATCTGACGGGCTGGGCGAGCTGCCTGTGCCGGTAACTCGACAGTAGCAATACCGCTGTCACAGGGATAGTTTCGAAGGGGAATTTATGCCCTCCTCTTCCTCAACATGTTCTTAATGTTGTTCAGGTGATCCATTTGCTGGCTAATTAATATTAAGGAATGAAACACAGACGGTGTGATGGAGAATTAAATTCCCCATCAATTAACCCTCTTTCATCTTTTAATCTCTGTAAAAAATGGAAGAAACTGTCATTAAAATCACAGCACAATAAGAAAAATAATTGTTTTGCGGCGCACAGTGACTCCCGGTAATTAAAAATTCACCTCTCCCCTCCTAATTGAAATTAAGGGATGAAAAAAAGGCTGTTTGATGGAGAACTAAATTACCCATCACTTAACCCTCTTTCATCTTTTAATCTCTGTAAAAAATGGAAGAAACTGTCATTAAAATCACAGCACAATAAGAAAAATAATTGTTTTGCGGCGCACAGTGACTCCCGGTAATTAAAAATTCACCTCTCCCCTCCTAATTGAGATTAAAGGATAAAGAAAAAGCAGTTCGACGGAGAATTTAATTCCCCATCAATTAACCCTCTTTCATCCCTTAATCTCTGTAACAAAAAAATAAAAACTGCCATGAAAGTCATGGGCCAGTGAGAAAAATGATAGTTTCGCGGCGCACAGTGACCCCCAGTAATTAAAAGTTCACCTCTCCCCTCCTAATTGAGATTAAAGGATAAAGAAAAAGCAGTTCGACGGCGAATTTAACTCCATTCGATTCCTGAGGAAATTTGGGTTCCCTGTAGGCAGATGGA